GTTTTTCCAACCTCTTTGCCTCCCTTTTAGGAATTCTAAAGACTGACAGGAAGTATAAAGGCAAGTTGGCTAGAGTTTCTTTAATCAAAGTAACTCTACCCCCTATGGAAATATAGTTTCTCTTCCAAGTTGTCAATCTTATTTCGAACTTTTCCACCACCGGGTTCCAGAACCTACTTTCTTTTGGATTTGCGCCCAAGGGAAGTCCTAGGTAGGATAGAGTCCACTGAGATCAAGTGCAATCTAACGAGGCTGCTATAAACTCCGTCTCCTCTCTACTCAAATTTATTCCCACAACACAACTTTTCTCAAAATTTATCTTCAAATTTGAGGCCCTTTCAAGGTGATTTATCAAATCCTTCAGATTTCTTACCTCCATCAGATCACAACCTTCACAAAAGATTATTATGTCGTCTACTAAATGAAGATGGGTTACTGAAACTCTATCTCTACCTTTTCTCCACCCTCTTAAGGATCCGACCCTATCCGCTTCTGAGAGAAGTCTACTAAAAGCATCAACAACTAAAGTGAATAGGAAAGGTGACATGGGGTCACCTTGTCTCAGACCCCTGCTAGCTGGGAAGAAACCGTTAACTACTCCATTGACTAGGAGTACAAGCTTCTTATGGTAATAAGGTCTCTCTGTAAATTCCATCTTGATTGATTTCTGAATTTGTATCTAGCTAAACCGTCAATAGTAGTATTCAAATTTGTAAAATCCACCTCAAACTGAAGAACAAGGGGCTAGTAAGCAAGATCTCTACTAGTCTACTGGGCATCTGCATTTGGAGTAGACAGTTGTAAGATTTCTTGGTTTTCTTGTTGTATGGAGCTCACGGTAAGTTTGTTTTGAAGAATGCATTCCAATAATCTAAGCTGGCTGTTGGTACTCATTTTATTTATTTATTACTAGCTTGAGTGATCTGTTGTTGGTCAAAAAGGAGAAAAAAAGATTTATTTCTTATGTATTAGGTTAGGTATGTGGATTTCATTGCTTTAGCTAGATATAATCAGATGATTGTAATGCTTCTTTTGGATGTGTCTTCTTTTAAGATCTATGGGAATTAGACCTGCTGCCTGCAAATGGGTTGGGTCAACCTCACATACTGGAACCAATATGAGGATTGACAGTGGCCTATAGGGATCTGTGTACCATCTTAATGAGATTAAGGGTAAATTTTCTATTTTTTTGATAAGAGTAATTTCATTTTTTGATAAGTATAATTTCATTTTTTTGATAAGTATAATTTCATTTTTTCCCAAGTATAATTTCATCTTTTTTGATGAGTACATATTCACTTTTTGAATAAATGAGTATAATTTCATATTTTATTTTTTATATGAAATTATTCTTACAAAAAATGAAATTGTACTTATAAAAAATGACATTATACTTATATAAAAAGAAATTTTACTTGTGATAAAAGGGTAAACTTTCTGATTTACCTGTGCAAATATGGTGGGTTCCTAGAAAGCTAAATTTAATTGTGGGTGGACTAGCTAAATGGGGTGTGGACTCTTGTCATTGCTATGATAAAGTTAAAGCCCTATGCATGTCTGTTTTTCATGTCGAGGATGGGGCTTTATTATTTGTTTTTTCTATAGCATTATGCATCCTTTCATGTACAGAGACTGATGTCTCTTTAAGACAACTAAAGTTACCTTAAGGAGAAAGATAGAGACCATGTAAGTTACCATGTTGGTTATTCATCAAAGAATATAGAGACCATGTTGGTTAATTCTGGTATTGAAGTATAATTTATTTAGTAATGAGTGGAGAAATTTGGTTAAAAG